AATTTGAGCCGGGCAGTGGTGGCGCACTCAGGAGGCACAGCCAGGCGGATCTCTGTGAGTTTGAGGCCAGCCTGGGCTACAGAGTGAGTTCCAGGAAAGGCACAAAGCTACACAGAGAAATCCTGTCTTGAAAAATCCAAAACCAAAATCAAAACAAAACAAACAACAACAACAACAAAAAAAAAAAACAAATTTGAGCCAGGTGGTGGTAACGTAGGCCTTTAATCCCAGCATTTGAGAGGCAGAGGCAGGCGGATGTCAGCCAAGGCTACATGTGAGATTCTGTGAGGAATAAAAAAAGGAAGAAAGGAAGAGAGGAAAGGAAAAAGAAAGTCAGTTAATAAATAATAAAAATAACTATCCAAAACAAAGGCCAGATATATCTGACATTTTAGTTACTCTCTGCATTCGTTTTAAGATTTTTACTAATTATGTATATGTGTGGGTATGTGCATGTGACTCTAGGTGCCCATGAAGGTTTGAGGTGATGGATCCCTTGCAACAGGAACTGGGAGTTACAGGTGGTTATAAGGTAAGTTCTCTTCGAGAGTAGTACAGGTTCTTGGCTGCTGACCCATCTTTCCAGCTCCACTCTCTGTACTAGAGTATAAATAGAATTTTGTTCTTTCAATAGGGAAAATAATTCAAGGGGCACCAGTAGTACTTCTGTGGTAATTTAGTGGCCCATGATTCTCAGCCAGGCAGTTTTGTTTTCATCTTTTCCTCTGAAACATATGGCTTTAGACCTATTTTCTATTATTACAGGCAAACAAGAAGGATTTACTTGTTTGATTAAGCTCTGTAGTGAAGGTTCTACCTGAGTTATGAGCAAGTCCTGTGGTGGGCAGGAGGAACCAGTACAACAATGAGCATAGAACCACAAGTTCACTGTTCAAGTTCTGGCTATGTGACTCTGGGTAAGTCAGGGATTTCTCAGGGAAACATGGGCTGGAGTTAAATAGACAAACCCTACTACATAGCAGTCCCCAATGTATGTTACAGTCTTTCTGGTTCTTGTACCCTTATAATTAAAATATTACTATAAAATTGGAAAATAACATTTTCAGAATGATAGTCCACTGAAAATCATTTGCACAGATGTCCATTTGAGTCAGCAGTACAAATGGCAATCTTACAACCCTGCAGCTCAACACCTCTTTGTTGTATGTAAAGTAACATCACAATTTAAGCATACTCAACTTGAAACCTTGGAAACAGTGAGAGAGACCCCACAGCAGTGGTGGAACTACTCACTGGTCCTTAGAATATGAGAGCAAACCAAAGATGGGAAACCAAGCCAGCCTTAAGAGGACTCCATGGAACATTCAACGCTGTCGGTGAGTTTGGGATTAAAAAAGAAAAAACCACCGACCGTTGACTGTACCTTGGGATCCTTACAGACAACAAATTTCCTGATGCAAGGAATAGGCTGTATTGTCACATCATATGACATCACGTGAAATAGTCCTATGGCCTGTTCTTTAAAGGGAATCAGCAACTTTTTAAAAGCTTCCATGTATTTACATTATTCATTGTTGGTTTTTTGTAATATTTTGATAACCAAATGCTTCATTTTAACAATTTATGAAGAATGCCATCAGAGGACCAAATGCACTCAAATGTGCCATTCTAGTGAGAAAAACAGCATGTATTAAAAATATCTATTTAGTATAATAATAAAATCTGGTTAAATATGTTATTCCCATTTCTTCCACATTCTTACAAGATTTTGCTTTAGGGGCGAGGAGAAGATTTAGTCAGCAAAAATAGCACAAAACTGTTCAATGTCTATACAACTTACATATTGTACCTGAAACTGCAATTATTATGGTTAGGATTTGACAGCCCCCATGAAAGCACCAGTTACTTTCTGCCGATTTCCATCTCCATGTGCTTATTTAAATATTTCCTAATTTCAAGCAAAAAGATACAGAATGAATTTTGGGTCACCCCCTAGCTATGTGACCCTAAGTATCCAAGCTTGCTTTTTCAAGTGTAGAAAGGAACAAGAGAAAGCCTATATATCACAGTTTTGATTTAATGAGATGTATGAGAGTAATTTGAATTATTTCTAGCCTATAGAAAATACTAGCTACATAAACAATTACTAAACTACAAACATAATCAATGCTACTTTATCTTGAAAAGAAGTACTTATTATACTTCTCAATTCGAAACAAAAGATGAATCTTTTGTTTTACAAAAGATGCTTTACAGACATCAACACCCCAGCCCATGTGATCAGAGCTACCCGTGAAATTCTCAGATGGCATGTTCCTCTTCATAACTTTTCGGTGTTGAAGGATTTCTTGCTCTGCAGTCGAGGTTATCTATATTTATGAGTCCTCAACCATACAAATGGTTGGTTACTAACACATAACAGACTTCAAAGAACCATTGTGGAAAGAAGACCCAGGAGATAGGGAAGACCAAGGCAATTTCATCAAATGGAAACACTGAAGGCTGCACTCAACATTCATTGCTGTCGGTGGGTTTGAATGTCAATCAACTCACTGATCAATGAATGCAAACTGCGGACCAAAAAAGCACAAGGAAGCAAAAGTACTCCCAGATAATCACCAGATAGATAATCACTGCTCCAGATAGGACTCCAATTTTGTAGCTAAAGCTTCTTTAGTTTCTTTGCTTCTAATATGAAGGAAGCTCTATAATTGCTAGTACTTTTTGTTTCTTTCTCAATCATAATAAGTTTGAGGAAATTGTACTATTACAGGCAAAATGAATAATATGCTATTAACATCATATTTAAAAACAATGCTTTCGCTGGGCAGTGGTGGTGCACGCCTTTAATCCCAGCACTCGGGAAGCAGATCTCTGTGAGTTCGAGGCCAGCCTGGGCTACAGAGTGAATTCCAGGACAGGCTCCAAAGCTACACAGAGAAACCCTGTCTCAACACCGCCCCCCCCCCCAAAAAAAGAAAGAAAACAATGCTTTCATAATTTTTAAATTAAAAAGAAACACATGTTCATTATTTTAAAATTCAAGTACATGAAATAAAATTGAAAATCTATTCTCATGTCAAATGCATTCCCCTTCTGTGAAAACCACTTAAGAACATCCATTTGGTAGTATTACAGTAAAGACAATGAGGTAAAATGTTATTCCCTTGCAGACTTATCTACATGTAAAACTGAGAACAACTAACTTTGGGGAAGTTCAATGGTAACAAATTGAGCTCAGTGCTTTTTAATTTACCTTTTCACTCAGCTATATACACTTAACAAACAACATTTAGCATCATTTGGGGGAGCGGGGAGCCAGATCTTATGTATCCCACATTGGGTAGCTGAAAATGGCCTTGAACTTCTGATTCTCCTGCCTTACCCTTTCAAGTGCTGGGATTACAAATGTGTACCACCAAGCCTGGTGTATGTGGTGCTGGAAGTTGAACTAAAGGCTTTGTGTATGATAGACAAGCACTCTACCACCAATAACTACAGCTCGTGTGTGTGTGTACGTATGTGCATGTACATATGTTAGTGAATGTATAACCCAGAAGTAGGTGTCAGGCATATTCCTCAATCACTCTCCACTCTATTGTCAAACCTGGGGCATACCTATTCTGCAAAACTAGAAATCAACCAAGTTCCAGAAATCCTCCTATCTCCACTTTATTGGTAATGAAAGTATAGGTCCCTACAGCCTTTCCCAGCTTCTACAAGGGTACTGGGAAGCAAACTCATGTCTTCATGCTTACATGATACCTAATAAGCCATCTCCCTGTCCCCATCAATTCTTTCTCATTCTTTTGAATGATTATATGTCTTATTATGAATACTCTGGTTTTTATGGTTCAAATACATCTAAAAAAAATCTCTTGACCAAAACTATGAGGCCCATCTAGTCTTACCTTTGGAAAATACATTCTTAAAATAAGAAAAACAACTAAGTGAGATGGGAAAGACCCATTTTATGGTAGCAAAAATTAAAATATAATATCAGCTCTCCAAATTTCATAATGAAGATGAGCCACCAAATCTTTCCTACTAATGAAATAAAAACATGAGCCTTATTTGCAAGTCATACAAACTTAAGTCTAAGAGAGAAACAGTCTTTTTTTTTAAAGATTTATTTATTTATTATGTATACAGTGTTCTGCTTGCATGTATCCCTGCAGGCCAGAAGAGGGAGCCAGATCTCATCACAGATGGTTGTAAGCCACCATGTGGTTGCTGGGAATTGAACTCAGGACCTCTGGCAGAACAACCAGTGCTCTTAACCTCTGAGCCATCTCTCCAGCTCCGAGAGAAACAGTCTTGTCAATTTAGCTTTCTTCTCATAGACAGGATGGAAAGGAGAGAATATAGTTGTACTAAAACAAGAAATCAAAAAGAGAAAGAATTAATAACAAGAAAGCAGAGAGGGCCGGGCGATGGTGGCGCACGCCTTTAATCCCAGCACTTGGGAGGCAGAGGCAGGCGGATCTCTGTGAGTTCGAGGCCAGCCTGGGCTACCAAGTGAGTTCCAGGAAAGGCGCAAAGCTACACAAGAGAAACCCTGTCTCGAAAAACCAAAAAAAAAGAAAAAAAGAAAGAAAGCAGAGAAAGTATGAGGTTCAAAGACAGTGTTTCCGAAACCTGGCTGTGTACCATAATCATCTAGTATTGCTGTTAAAAATGGACATTCCTCAGTATTTATCATAGATCAGAAATGAGGCCTTATTAGTGTATATTTTGATAAGCTCATTGGGTGACTTCTCAAATATTGGAGGCTTGCCTAAAGTAAAGTAAATGCACTAGTAAAATATTGGCTACTTATCCCCTGTAGACACGTTTCATGCTGCCCACTTTCTAACTATTGCCTGATATGTCTTCCACCACTCTTCAAGGTGCATAAAACCCTGGCATTGCTATGAAGTAGCTCACTCCAAAACACATCAGATTATCTGGAGTTTTACAATGGTAGGTACACTTGCGTTTATGTCTTCACAAAACATGAAGGCCCTAAGGAATGAAGAAGGTTAAAATTCAGATTGTGTCACCTAACAACTTTTGATATAAATGAAAAGCGTTGGTCTGGCAGGAAAAGTGCTTGCTATTTAAGCCTGATGGCTTATGTTTAACTCCCAGAACGCAAATGATTGAGAGAACCAAATTCTGCAAGTTGTCCTCTGAACTCCACTGCTGTGGAATATTTGTACACTGTGGAATATTTGTACATGTATATTTGTACACTGTGGAATATTTGTACATGTATTGCCATGACTGGTATAATAAAAGCTGAATGGCCAATGACTAGGCAGGAGAGATAGGCAGGACTTCCAGAGAGAGAACACTGGAAAAAAAAGAAAACAGAGTCACCCGCCAGATGGAAAGGAAGCAGGATGAGTACAGAGTAAAGGTAACCAAGTCACATAAAAAAAGCAGATTAAAAGATATGGGTTAACTTAAGTTATAAGAACTAGTTAAAAATAAGCCTAAACTGAGGTAGAGCTTTCCTAAGTCTCCATGTCATTTTTTGGTGAGTTTTCTTAGTGAGCAGGTGGCCCAAAGAAAAATCTGTGTACACATGGCATCCAACATAGTGGCTCAAATATCCATATAGGGTCTGAGAAAGCAGTCTCTTGGCTACACAGAGAGCAGCACACAGAGACACTTTTAAGAGGCACTGCTGTGCAGGTGAGCACTTGAGCAGCAAGCACTGGATATAAACTCCTACAGACACAAAAAATTCCCAGAGATGGGAAAGGTGAAATCCAGCTCTGGGATGGTACCCATCAACATGAAACTAGGTTCTCACAGAACTGAGGGGGGCGGAGGCAGCCACCAGCACAGAGCTGCCCAAGGTAGCCTAGCAGTTTAAGATTCGGCTCACATGGTCAGAGGAGGCTGTAGACACACACACACACACACACACACACACACACACACACACACACACACACA